GCTGATTCCCCGGCTCGGTTTGCTCTCAAAACACGATTAAAATCCTACCCCTCACTGCTTGGATGCTTGTTATTTTTTGCCTCTTCCCTTTGCTATTTCATGTCGGGAAGAACCTCAATTGTTATGCTATCCTGCGCGTTACTTGATATAGTATTCATGGGCATGTTCACATATGCTAGCATCGAGGTTTTCGTCGACGCAGTTTCCGACACTTTGAGAAGTGACCTCGAGGATCCTGTTGCTTACTATCAAATGGTGCCAATGGAAGACGGTGCCGACGCCAGCAAATATATTCTATCTGGTGTCAAGGCGCTCTGGGTTGCAGAGCTGAAGACCTCTGCCAATGACACACAGATTGTCGGAATGATAGCTCTCGGTACGCTTTATCTACTTTCCCATTTCGCCGGCTCATTTTGTGACATAGATCTAGTGCCCAATTCCAGTACAAAGACAGGGGAAATCCGCAGAATGTTCGTCTCTCCGCTTTTTCGTCGAGTCGGGGTTGCCTCCTCCTTGATGAGAGTATGTGAGAGTAGGGCTAAGGCATACGGGCTATCTAGAATAGTGTTGAATACTTCTGAATACCAGACTGGTGCGATGAGGTTGTATGAAGGCGCCGGGTATAGAATATATAATAGAAGAGAGCTTAGGAGTCGGTCTGGCTTGGGAGTGGTTAAAATGATAGATTACTGTAAGAACCTGGGGAAATAAAATCAAGTTCCAGATTTTAAGTGAACTTGGCGGGGTGTATTATGTTTGCATTGTCTAGCCAATCAACGGCCAATCATCGGCTCCAACAAACCACTTCAGCTACCAACACGTTCTGTGTATTATAACGCGTTTCTCTCAAATTATCCTTGTTAGGAGCTGGTGACAATATGGCACATTCAACGGTTGCCTCCCAAGAAGAGATGAAGGCTGCTAAATTACCTCTTGGTTGGAGGGATCATTGTTCAGCGTGCGTGTCCTTGAAGTAAATTTCTTCTTGATTGATGATGCTGAACCATTTTTTGCATTGTTTTCTCTTGCACGCCCCCCTTGGCTGGACTCTCTTTGGAACAATCTGCTGACCGGTTCCATTCCGACTGCAAATCGTATTCTCTCCCGGCCAATGGCTTAACCGTGATGTTCCCAAAACCAACACAACCCTTATACTATCTTCGCACACATTCATTGCACAGTCTCCTCATTCCCCTGAATGTTTGTCGGAAAGACAAGAACTATCTTCCATGGGAATGCGAGCACGAGAAACATGCCTATGAGAAGTACGTCTGCAACCATAGTATTCTTTCGCTGTCACTTACTTTCCCTCTCTAATTTTAGATGCCAGTACGACGAGTACGTGTTCATGGTCTCATGATTGAACTGGATACTAATGTGTCACCGCATTTGTGTTTTCGTGTCCCTCGTTTGATGTAACCCATCATTCAGCTATGTTCGTCGTATGAAGCTACTTTCAAAACAGAAGCGCGAATCATTGGAGGAGTCCGAGTAATAGAACGTTCGATAGATTGGCAATGGATTCTTACTTCACATTTCAAATGATTGCCTAGCTAATACCTGAAATATTGATCCAACAAGAGATTCGCAAAAAAGTCTTTTGAACTGAGGCTCTCGCAGAAACCCGGCTAGTACTCTCTTGAAGCATAAATCTTCAGATTGGATTAGGACGGCGAAATGGAGCGTACTCCTTTGTTGCTGAGAACAGAGAGCACACTACTCAGAATATGATGGGCAGCAAATTGTACATTTATAACAAGAACGACGTAAGTAAACGGCTTCGACAAAAAAGACAGCAAAAAAGACAGCAACGAGACAGAAGTGGTGTAGATAAATAGGAGGGAATTTGAAGAACAGGTAGACAGCAATTCGATAGCAATGTAGGTTGGATATGTTGGAAAGAGATCGAGATAGAGGGATGACAACAGATAGGACAAGGAGTTCGACAGCAGATCTGGATAGCAAAAAGACAGCAAATGGACAGCAAATGGACAGCAATGGATAGCAAATGAAAAAATTTGGACAGCAATGTGTGTCATCAACAATGTTTGGATAGCGGTAAAGTCATGGTAAAAAGTAGCAAATTCATTGGTGTCCTTGGTTGTACGATGGTGGTGGATACGTGTACTGGCTGTTTGGGAATGGATTATCGAAATTGATTACCGACTCGCCGGGATAGTCAGCTTGCCTCGCACTAACTGTCCTTCGAGCAGGCTCGGCGGTTTGACTCAGTGAGGCAGCACTCTGGCATTTCACAAATCAGCAAAAAGCACGACTTCAATGTGTTTAGAAGCGACATTACCAGAACCATATAACGCGAATGTTTGCTAGTCTCAGCAGATACTACTTGACCGGGAGTGGTGTCGAGGAGCATCATGCCTTGACCTGCTCTAGCTGGATCAATAGGTACTGGCGCACTCACAATCCTTCGAGGAACTGTAGTGCGAATTGGGGAAGTGGGAGCGTGATCAACAATTCCTTGCGCGCGCAAAAATTCTGCATTGAGAAAATGAGGTGAAAATAAGCATGAACCTCGGTTGACACTGACCTAGCGTTCTGTATCTGAACACAAACGAGACATGGGTCCTCACTCTATTAGATCCAGAGCCATCGTCGTCATAGGGCTCAACGTCCCACGTCGTTTCGCTCTGTTGGGTCGTAGGACTACTTGGACCATACCTTTAATCTCGATGTCAGGGTCATGCATTGGATCACCCAGACGGCACATACCCAATGTATGCTTCTCCTGGCCTACGACCCATAGCACTATCGGGGGGACTTCGAAAACTATTGGCGGGACGGGGAGCAACTCGTTTGACGCGTTTGATCTTCACCATGATGGTACCTGCGTCCTTATTGGAGGACGAAGAAAATCCTGAAAACATCGCGAGGTTTGAAATCAACCTCCTCCAGAGTCGCAAAAGACAGACGTACCAGATTCTTCTGGGACAATTTGGAACATGAAGGGTCTATGGCTATTTGTCGAGGTTCGCATTCCATTTCGAATCGCTTCACCATGTCCTGAGCATGCGAATCGGTCAGCACTTGCAAGCGCAGTTGGATTGTACGAACCATATAGAAAACGCCCAGGAACAACATTGCCATCTAGAATGACGAAGCCGATTGTATCCACATTCCCCCCATGGTCCTTCCAATGCACTGAAAAGGTCTACGGAGAGTCAACACGCGTGAGGAAAGAACGTGTGGTGCAAGTCGTACCCGTCCTGGTGATGAGGGAATCCAACAAGACACCTGGTTTGTGCTAGAATTCACGGCGACAAGATACTCGGGGATTGGGACACCATCAACCGCGACCCATGCAGAGAAACCAAGGTGATTTAACATCAGAGGAGCTACAGCATGAAGGACAGAACAGCAGGGTATAAATATGTTAGAATCAGGGCCACTGGGCGAGCAATTTTTACGAATTTGGCAATTCGACGCAGCCAAGGTAACGTGAGCGGCGTGACTTGATGCTGGTCAGAAGCTATCCCCACCTGTTTTTCCCCTTGTATTCTTTGTTTGTCAGTCCATTGCGCCCAACACGTTTCGCCATGCCTCCAAAAAGAGCTTCCTCTTCAAAAAGAAAGGCGGCGAGTGATTCTGACTCCGAGGACGCGTCACAAGCAACAAAGAAGACCAAGTTGGGCGATACTGGCGCGACAACAGACGCGGTTGAAGGCGCTCAACCTACGAACAAGGTGCTCCCTGAGCACATATCCTTTCCGGCTCGAATACCAAATTCGATTCGCATATCCACGTGGAATGTCTGTGGTCTCGCCACTAGTCAAAAGAAGGTATTCGTTTGTATTCGAGCTATATACTCTACCGCGCCTGATTCTGGAAAATCCGAGTCAGGGTTTCAGGAAATATGTTGAAGCAGAAGATCCCGATATTCTCGTTCTTACAGAAACAAAGGTATGGCTGTACCATTGTTCTTTATTTCCTTTTTCCTCATCAGTTCTTCAGGTCAACAACGAACCTGTCGATCCTTCCCTGAAAAGCAGGTTTCCCCATAGCTACTGGTCTATTGCAGAAAAGAAAGGTTACTGTAAGTGGACCAACACCGTTGTCCCCTTATGTCTAACATATCTCCCAGCTGGAACGGCTGTGCTCAGTAAGATCAAGCCTCTTTCCGTTGAAAAGACTTTGCCAGGGCACCCCAACCCTTCCATTGTTAAGGGTCGAATTATAACTCTAGAATTCGAAAACTATTACCTTATCGGAACATATGTCCCAAATGCAGGATCTGATCTCAAGGTTTGGAACTTTCTAAATCTTCAAAGAAGTCAGACTGATTCATTTTACGAATAGACCCTGGATGTCAAGAACGAGTGGAATGAACATTTTACCAAGTACATCCGAGATCTTGACCAGAAGAAACCAGTAATATGGACCGGTGACCTGAACGTTGCACCTACAGAGATTGGTTCGTGACTCTCCTCTTGCGTTTTCAAGGGTTTTGACTAAATTCTGGAGTGCAGACCTTTCCAATGCTAAGAGGAACTGGAATAAGACACCCGGTTATACTGAAGCTGAGACTACCGCGTATAAAAATATCCTCAATCCCCCAGAAACCGAATCGACCGCAAAGTTTGTCGACATTTGGAGGCGCACTCACCCCAAAGACAAACATTTTACCTATTTTGGGTACAGATTCAACTGTAGAGCCAAGGGTATTGGATGGAGGCTTGATATGTGTAAGTACTTGAAATTTTTGATCCTGCCCTATTCCGATACAGTGCGTCCCTAGTCGTTTTAAGTGAGAGGATTGTCGATCAAGTCAAAATGGTACGTTCTACATTTTATTCTACGAGGCGAATCTTACGGTGCCGTACAGTGCGAGATTAGAAGTGAGATTTATGGTGCTTCAGACCATTGCCCAGTCACAATGGAGATTGAAGGTTCCCTATGATTGTTGTTGAGTAGATACCATACTTAGATTTTTGGTCAGTTAGTTGTACAGGCCAATATACCTCCGCCAATGCTGCCCAACACAAGGGGGTATAGCTCAGCTGGGAGAGCAGCAGACTGAAGTTGGTTGCATTCTGAAGGTCCCGCGTTCGATCCGCGGTACCCCCAAAAATTTCAGCGTATTAACCTTTTTTTAATTCCATTGAGATGACAATACATTGCTCAAGGCTATATACATTTTATACAGTATCAGACCGAGTTACCATTCCCAGCAGAAATAGACGAGTGAGCAGCTTTCCACCAATTCCATGCACCTAATCCGACAATAAAGTTGAATAGTCCTACAACAGCAGAGCCAGCCCCAATTACGGTGAGAAGCCACCATATGATACCTATCGTTCTGTCTAGAGCGCGTCCAGTGTATCGTTTAAGGTTAGCCAGAGGATCAGGTTTGGGGGTATAGCTAGCAGGTAATTGAAGGATTGGTACGGTTTTCGAGGTATTCTTTTGTTGTGGGACTAGGAGCAGTGCAACGATAGGTTTCTGATTAAATGCAACTTTTAGCAGAAGCCTTCGAAACTTGAAATGCCACTTACATGATCTGAGGTCGTGTAAGAAGGGATAGAGGTGTACAAGATGTTGGTGATGTTTGAAACGTCCGGGGTATCCACAGTGTCAGTATGCGTAGCATATAAAATTCTGTCTGTCCATGAAGGAACTCTTTTTGCGCTTTAGAGAAACTCAATACATTGATCAGCGAAGGATTGCTTAGAGAACATACCTATACCTATCAATGGCGCCAAGTTCGTATTTGTAGCTGCATTTAAACTTCCAAAATTCTCCCTCCCTAAGCCCCACAAAGACTGTATTCTTCTTCCGTTCTATAGAGAGTTGATCAAAGTCTTTCAAGATAGCTCTAGTATCTTCGTTCTTCAACGCGTCCGAAATTTCGCGCGGCGAAGATAGATTAATAACGGGCGAATTGGGAGGGATGGAAATCCTGAAATTCAGGTCGCCGAGGAAAAAGAGGTGGGAAGTAGAGAACATGGTTGAAGGTTTCCGGGTGTCTTCATTGTCAGAAAAAAGCAGTGTACCGACAATATGGTGATAGTCAGCAATCCTATAGGAAAGATATTCTTCGTGCGGTGTTAAATGCGCACAAACGAACCTGGGGAAATGCTCAAATATGAAAATTGAAAACGCAGAGCTGAACTCACGTATACGTTTCCCCAATATCGCCCTCAGAACCGGGTATGCGAAACCTGACGCCTACAGCTCCTTTGTTACCCATATATCCAAGAGCTCCACACCCTGTCCAAGTCGTCTGGACATCACAAGCTCTTCTTCCAACATTGTCGTCGCGGCCATAAACCAGAAGAGCGACACCAGCGTTTACTATCTTGGCTAGGAGCGTGTATTTCTCCTTGCCAGGAGCATGGGTCTCAATTTGTGTAAGTATATGGTCTGCTCGTTCGTCAATAACAGGTTTGGATAGTCCAGAAACTAGGGGCCAAATTTAAGTGACTTTCTCGTTGTAGAAGAATTGAGCGTACGTCCGAGATGCAGAGGCAATAGTTCTTGAAAGCCGACAGCGACAATATCCGGCGCTCGAGGCTCACGAGATAGGAATGTCGAAACTTGCAAAGTGGGTGACAACCAATCGACCAAATCCTGTGGAACACCTTGAGAACCCTGCAGATTTGTATTGTAGGACGCAATTTGGACCAGCAGCCGGTCCGACTGACTGGAAACCATGCTCAAAACGAAGCAGTCAACTGTTGCACTTGAAAGCAAGCAAACAGCCTTGAGCCCCGCACGCAAACAGATCAATTCACATGTATGACATCAGTACTAGTACGATCAGTATTTTACCATCATCTACAAAACAACAGCCAAAAATATGCATCTACGTATACTCTATTCTAACGTGTGCTGGGTCCTCTGGTGACGCCAAGGTCCTTCAGTTTTCCCTGAGCTATGTCGTAAACCCAGCCGTGAACCCATACGTCTTTGCCCTTTTGGCTCTTGTTGGCCCACGCGTTTATGATGATGGACGTCTGGCAAAGGTTCTCTACCTGCATCTTGACATTCTCCTCAACAAGTGCAGGAACAGCCTCTTCGGCAGGTGCGGAGGAGAGCTGGAGGGAAGCAGCAAGTTCGGTAAGAGGCGCAAGGAAACGGTTGATGGGAGCATTATCGGGAAGAGAAGGCACAGTTGCAATAGGCCGTCCGGGAATGAAATTTGAAGATGCGCCAAAGCAAGCAGCGGCTCCACCACATTGGGTATGCCCAACGACGACAACTGTAAAACAGAAAGCGCCATGGGCAAAAAGATCATTCGGTTGGGATGACACAACGTATTAGAAAAACAGAAAATGCACCGTGTTCTACGCCAAGATGATCAACAGCATAAGTCAGAACGGCAAGGGCACTATCGTCGTCGAGATGAAATTGGCTGTGACGCGGATGTCAGACGAAACGAACACAAGGAATAAATGGACACCAACTTGGCAATGTTTCGGTGGACGAAAATGTCTCCTGGTCGGGCGCCAGTAATCACAGATTCGGGAACTCGAGAGTCAGCACATCCTATCCAGAGGACCTGAGGTGGTGTCTCAGCATCGAGGTATCATTGACAGAAGTAAGGGAAACCAACTTTGGGGGACTGCCCTTGAGAGCACTGATTGAAGAAACCAGGTTCAGCGTGTTCAACGTCCGAGGCCCACTGGGAGTTGGCGGACAAAAGTTGAGCGAGGGCAGGAAACTGGGACATGGTGAGTGCGGATAAAGAAGCGAGTAAAAAGTCTACTATAGCTTTATACGACGCTATTGATGTCGTTGCAAATTATAATGAAATCGCGAAACGCCGCATCTCAGGCTAGCCTCCAGTTCCATGAACCAGTAAAATATATCATGTCACTACGATACCTGATGTTTACGGCTCAATTCAACCACAACGTTGCTAGGACCACTCCATTGTCAGACATAAGGTACTCATGATGATTTACTCATAGCGCATAGAAGAGTAGAAAAATAATTTTCAGCTGACATGAACACGACCGAGCCCACCCGCTGCAAGCCCTCTCCATGATCTCCTCGCGGCCACCTAGTACATATGGATACAGAAAACACCACCTCTAGTTCATTTGGCGGATGAGCTTGTTGATGTTGGATTCCCGGTCACCAAAGTCACCACCCTGAACAAAGTGTTTGAACTTTCTTGTCCTCCAGCCACCATTGGGGTTCGACAGCTTGAAGGGCCAGAGGAAGTTGGAGGCCTGCCGTTCAAAGTATTGAGTGGATTTCTTATCAAGAGCAAAAGTGATTACACACCTGCTTAAAGTTGGGGCCTGCAGTGAAGATCTCGTGGACGAGATCCTCAATAGAGAGGATGTTGTATTTACCGAGAGCCTCCTCGATGACAGCGTTGTTAGAGAGGGGAATGCGCTGCTTGTCGACCTTGCCGTATCCACGCTTGTAAATCAGTTCACGAACAGACTTGAGGTTGGGCTCGCTGCAGAGAAAAAAATTTAAGGCAAGCACCATCAGATTTGAAGGATAATGAACGCACCCATAGGTAACATAGGGCTCAACCAAACGAAGCATCTGTTGAGTTGCTTTGGTGACCTTAACGAAGACACCGTTGTTGATCTGGAGGAGACGGAGAAGTTGCAATATTTTACGGGGTTTGGGGGCAATCTCGTTGATACTACGGAATACAAGGTAAGTAAATGGATACTGAAGACGATGAAAAACGTACCCCCGGATCCTAACAACAAAGTACACCTTGGGCTGGCTGGGAACGTAGAATTCGCCAGCGCTCCTTGCAGCCCGCTTCAGTCTGATCTCTTCCTTCTCCTTTGATAGATACTCCTTCACATATGATTCGGCGCGTTTGAAAATGACCTTTCGCTTTGCCTTGCTGGCCTGAGAAATGATTGTCAGCATTGTTCGAGAATGAAAGGAAGTGTAAATGAGTCAGTCCCGAAAGATGGTATATTTGAAAGACAGCATCGCGGTTGCTAGTCATTCGTCGAAAGAATCGTATGCATCATAATGAAGGAGTAGAATTTGAACACACAAATCACCTTGCGGGCAGCGGTGGCGGCAGCGAGACGCTCCTCGCGGGCCTTTTCGTTTTGCTTTCTTTTTTTGAGGAGCGTCTCCGGCACTTCAATAGCCTGATGAAAGGTTGGGAAATAAGCATCACATCTTTCGATACACTTGCAGATTTTTACTAACAGAAGCACTCGGAACGCTAAAAACAAGCAATCATTAACAGAGCATCGTTTCCAGCTGAACAAAAACACATACGTCGATGTCGGGGCCATTTTGTCTTGAGGAGGGAACGTTAGTTTCAAAAATGGGACTTCGATTAGTCGTCCGGGACTGCTTAGTAACACATCACCAAACAAAGATTCAGCCACAAACCAGCTGTATAGCTACTTACTAAGATATTCTCACAACGTCATATATGGCAAGCAGCTAGCGCCGACGGCACCGTTGGTCGCAATCATATTCTGTCAAATGCTCTGGGACTTAAAGCGTTAGATTATACATACCCAACGATATGGATTTAACCTGTTCGATATACGCCCCACCGGCGGCGTATACTGACACGGCGTATCATGGCCGTTCAATTCGTTCCTCGGTATGCTATAGGAGAATCTTTTCACTTAATCCTCCATTCAAACATGTATGACGAGCATAGGTTTGGAGTATTAAGCCTTCCATTGTAAGCGCTCACGATACGATGTGTAGTTAACACGCTTGAACAGGAACAGGGTAGATCGTGATCCTGAAACGCTGAATCCGTGTAAGGCGTTCCTCGGGTGTTGTTTTCATTAGAGAAAACACAGCTTTCGGTGTTGCTTACATGGCACGCGCCTGCTTCGGGTCCTCCGTCAAATGGTATTGAGCTACTTATGTGGCATTTAGGCAAGGTGTCCTGCGAGGCAGAACGCTTTTCTCCCTCTTTCTCTGTACTTTCTTTCTATATTCTTTATTTCTTCAAGGGCTCGCAGAATGGCGCCCGTAAGTCTTTGGGAATGGGTATGTTTCTGCCCTCCGGTCTCGAAATCTCCAGCTCACATGTTTCAGCCGGTTCTCAACAGGCTGCCCAACCCTTCCAATGTTGTCAAAGCCTTCACCGGAAGTCTCTGTCCGTC